TCTCTCTGCCTGCTGCTATGCCTACTTGTGAGCTCTTTCTCTCTCACTCTCTGTCAAATAAATAAATAAAATCTTAAAAAAAGAAGAAGAAGAAGAAGAAAACTCCTTGTTAAGACCCTTTGCGCTCACCACCAGGACCCCTTGGTCCAGCTACAACCAGAAAGGAAGAGCTTTCTTACTGACCTGCCCTCAGGCTTCCTTCCATTGTTTTCCTGACTCTTCAGGTCAGACTTTGGAAATAAGGTCCTGAGGAGGCCACTTCAGAGATGAGGAAACCTGAGGCCCAGGAAGGGGAAGTGACATGATTAGGGTCACCCCGACTGGAAAAAGCAGAGCTGGAGGATGAGCCCAGTTGTCTGACTCCCAAGACTGGGATTTTAGTCACTAGGCTACACAGGCCCTTCATAGTTCAGTCTCCTTCCAGCTCAGTGACCTCTGTTCCTTCCTAAAAAGTCAGAGAGAAAATAAGGCCTAAAGCCAATCCCCCCACAGGCCATGAAGCCCTGAATGAGCTGCCCTTTCACCTCCCTGCCTCCTTTCCTTCCACTCGCCTCTTGTTCACAGCTGCCACACTTGCCTCTCTCCTTTGCCTCTAATGTAACAGACACGTTCCTACCCCAGAACCTTTGAACTGGCTGTTCCCTCTGCTTGTCACCTCCTTTCCTCAGGCCCACTTGCCCCCAGTGTCACTTCACTTAGGTTTGTACTAAAATGTCACCTCCTCAGAGAGCCCTTCCCTAATCCCAGGGTCCCTCTTTGCTTCCTGTCCCATGTGTCACCCTCTGGAATTATCATATGCCTTTACCCGTTACTTCTTGCTCATCCACTGGCCTAAGAACTCCAGGACAGGGGGGACTGGGTGGCAGGGGGGGGGGTCTGGCTCATTCTCTGCCACAGCCTGAAGATGCTCAATTACCGTCTGTGGCATGAATGGCCCTGTCCCACATGAGGAAAATGAGGCTCGGGCAGGTGAATCCTCTCCCCAGGTCATAGAGCAAGTCAAGGGCAAAGGTGGGATTTGAGCTCTAACTCAGAGTGGAGACGGTGGGCTCAGATGCCCCCTGAAACTCTGTCCTCACTCTGTCAGTCTGCAGTTCCCTTGGGCCCAAAGCTAGACCTGCAACTCAGAGGAACCCTGCAGTTAGTCTGTGACTGGTGAAGTTGGGGGACACCCCAGCAGCCAGGGCCCAGGACTGTGGTTTGGAGGCACCCCCTTCTGTGGGCAGGCGTCAGAGAGATGCGCTTTGCAGAAGTGCAGATCTCAAAAGTCCAGCTCCTGGCTGCCCGGCCCCAACGTCAGCCCTTGGGGCCTTACCGCAGACCTGGGGGTGGGCAGATCTTACGCCGACATAGTAAGAACACTGAGGCTCATGGAGGCATGACGGCGGGCTCCAGGTCCCACAGAGACTCCGGGGGCAGGGCTAGAATCTGATTCTCACCCACCAATCTGGAGTCCAGGAGACCTGGGTGTTAGCCTCAACTTTCTGTGCGACCTTGGGCAAGTCACTTCTCTCCGTCTGCTGGGCAGGAATGGCGAGCCAAAGACACTGGGAGTTAACACGCAAGTTGGTGCTGGGAGGCCCTGGCACAGGCAGGGGCAGGGCCAAGCGCCGAGGTGAGCCGGGAACTCCGCGTCCGCAACTTTTCTGCCAAGTTCCTCTGCCTCCACCAAGCGGCCGTCCCCCCTGCGCCCGAATGGACAGGGAGAGACGCCTGGTCCCTGCCCGGGGAAGGCGAGGACCTCACCCGCAGTCTGCGGTCGGCCGACCTGGCGCCCACTCTCCAAGGCGCTCGATACGCATGAAATAATAACCTGGGGCCGGTAGTTGCGGCAGCCGTGACTTTGCTCTGCTCAGGGACTAGAGCCCCACAGGCACGTCCCGACTCCGAACGCACACTCAGCCTGTGCCTTTCTCGTCGCCCAGCAGAGGGCGCGCGGAGGGACCCGTTCCCAGGGCACCGCCAGGGATGAGGGAGAGCCAAAGAGGAGGGGAGGCGAGGACCCAAGTGGAGACAGAGGCCACGGGCCAGAGAGACACCCCAGTCCAGCTGCCTCCACCCCTTCTCGGGGCTCGGCAGCGCCTCCCACGGCGGAAAGAATTTGGAGGTACTGAGGGGCACAGGGCATAGGGGTCCGTATGTTGGCCCTGCCCCCAACTTAGGCAAGCCCTCCTCTCCCCGCCCCCACTGCCACCGGAGTCTTTCTCTTCCTCCAGCTCCATCTGCCTCTTGACAGATCGTGGTGGTGCCGTGACTCAGCCCCGCAGGGCGCCAGGAGCACAGGCTCATACATCCCCAGGTCTGGAGGGGGGATGTGGATGCCATCTCAGATGGAGGGCAGTGCCCTCTCTCTGGGGGTTCCTGTGACTCAAGTCTAGGGCTGTCTGGATCCCCTTTTTGGTGGCTGCAAGAACTGCAACGTGGGTAGCCCTGGAACGCCCTGCGTGAGCTCAGAGAGCCCCCTTTCTGGAGAAACAGGTTGGCAGAAAGCCCATTCTAAGAAGCAAGGTTCCCACTGGAGGCCTTTCAGTTCCCCCTTCCTCCTTCTGCCTAAGGGTGGGGGGAGGCCGCTGGCACCCATGCCCTCCCTCTGGCCACAGGCGCTGGAGGCTACGCAGGCCCCGGCTGAAACAGAAACCTGAGCCCTGCCGGGATGTGGTTGAGGTTCCTGTTTTTAATTCCCAACCCGGCGTAGCAGGGTCTGCTCAAACCCCAGCTCGTCTCCTGAGTCCAGGTCCCTGAGTGACTATCTACTGAGCACTCGCTGTGTTAGGTCCTTTACACACATCCCCAATCTCACAACTCTCAAACAACCCCCCACCAACAGAGCAGTACCAACAGCCCCGCTTCACAGATAGGGGAAACCGAGGCCCAGAGAGGGCAAGACCCTTGTGCCAGGACTCAAGGCATCAGAGAGGTGCTGGGATCTCAGCTTTGCCATTTCCTGCTTGTGTGGGCTTGGGCACGAAGGAGGGACTTTGCTCCTCTGGGCCTCAGTCTGTCCAACAGGAATACCACCCCAGGCACTGGAGACGAAGACATGTGGAAAAGTCCCCGGCACGGAGCCCGAGAGTGAGCCATTAAGAGATGGATACCACCAAGAGAATGATGATCATTACCACTAAGCCACTGTCCCCTGAGAGTGCCCAAACACCAGGGTAGGGGGAGTCCCTGGGGTCTTAAAAAGGAAGAGGGCCCAGTCCCAAAGGCACCCCCCAAGCCTTCACTGGTCTCTCAGGACAGTGACCTGAGCCAGTTTGGCGGGCAGCCCCCGGTCTTGGCATTTCCTGTTGATTTCAGCTTTTGTTTTCCTTCAGCTTCTCTCCAGTTCCCTTTGGGAAATCTCAGGCTATGTGTGCTGGGCCCAAGACACTTGCTTCCTGCCTGGGGACAGGGGTGCAGGGGCTGGGTATGTTTCCAATGAGAGTAGGTGGGGGTATTTGGGGGGAGGTGTAGGGCCTGCTGGTAGGCCCCAGAGAGAGCTAGAATTGTAGGGGCACAGCCTAGAGAGGCCTCCCTCAGGAACTCCAGGGGTGAGAGGCCTGAATCTGACCATCTTAGTGATGTCCCAAGCAGAGGGGCACCCGTGGGGGTCAGACACAGCACACAGGCAAAGCTGTCAGTCACCCAGAGTCAGACCCCCGAGCACAACTAGAGCACACACCGTAGCCAAGAACACCAGGTGGTTAGAGCACGGGAGGGCAGGCGGACGGGAGCACACCCCAGAACTCAGAGGACTCCTCAGCTCCTTGGCTCAGGGGACAGAGGCGGCAGAGAGCATGTCCATCTTAGTCAGTATCCCTGGGAGCTCGGACAGTCCAGCTGACACGATCACACGGTCCCAGGGCCACCATCACTGCCTCCCAGGAATGCCTACTGTCACAATATGTGCCTCGAGAGCACACGCAATCACTCTCACAATCGCTGTCCCCGAAGCACACACTGTCACATCCTCATGGTCCTGGGAGCTCACAGGGTCCTACTGTCACAATTCCTGTGACCCTAAGTATACAAGTCACACGGTCACAGTCACTGTCCTGGAAGCACGCCATGTATCACAACCACACTGTCCTGAAGCACACACACGGTCATGCTGTCACAATCATGGTCTCGGAAGCATATATGGTTCCACTGCCATAATCACTGTCCCCAGAGCACACATAATCCTATGTCACAGTCGCAGGTCTCCAGAAGCCCAGGCAGCGCCTATAGCTAAGACATAGCTAGTAGTACCCCAACAGCTGGAGCCAACCCAGGTCAGGGAGAGGATGCCATCGAACCAGCCTGACACCTGCCCTCACTAACACTGTCCCCTCGGGAAGGCAGGGAATCCCTTATTACCCTGTGCTGGGACCATGCACTCTCCCGGCATCAGTCCCTCCCTCTGGTGAGCTACTGAACCCTAACACTCCTGCCCTGAGAGGGAGCTCCAACGCAGCACACAGGCCCCCAACACGGGGTTCCCCCAAGAGGCTCCCTCTGGATTTCTGACCCCAGCTGCTTCAGGGCGAGTCCCCAAATGCTCCCCCGCACCCCATAGAGTCCTCCACCCCCTCAGGGGACTCCAAGAGCCCCTCAGCCTGGAGGAAACATTGTGATCTCAGCAGGCGCCCCCTACAGTGCCCTCTAGGAAACAGTACAGTGCCCCCAGGAAAGTCCCTTCAACTACCCAGCCTAGCCACTGTCCTGCGCTGTCATCAACTAAGGTTCACGCTGCCAAAGCTGCAGCCCTCAACCAAGACATCGTTAATACTACACGCAGCATGGCGCCCCCTAAGTCGACCCCAGGACCAGCTTCAGCAGGAAGGGTACTCGTGTACAGGGCATCACCAGGGCCGCGTCCCGGACGCCCCCCACAGTAGAACTCCCCCTCCCCTCCACACCCCCGCGAGTCACTCGGACTCCACCCGCAGCGCAGCGCCCCCTGCGGTCAGCCGGGCGAGTTGCGTCCTCTCTGCGCGCCTATCCGCTCCACGCGCGTCCGCCGCCCGGAGTCTTACCGCCTGCAGCTGCCTCCGCTCGCGCCGCCGCTGCCGGTGCCTGTACCGTGGAAGGACGAGGGCCAGGACATGCGGGAAGTGCGCAGGCCGGGCCGGTCGCCGGTGTCCACGGCGTCGGCGCGCTCTATGGGCCGGTGTGGCGACCGCTCGGGCTCTGCGCGCTCCGCGCTGTCGGAGTAGCCGCGCTGCTGGATACGAATGGGGGTACGCGGCTGCCGCCACAGGTGCTGGGGGGGCGGCTTCAGGGTGGCCTGGCCCTCCCGGGGCCCGGGCAGAGACAGAGACAGGCTCCTCTCCGAGGGGGCGGCCGGGGGCTCCATGGCGCCGGCCCCCTACTGCGCCCCGGGGGGGGCCCCGGCCTCTCCAAGCTGCACCCTGCTCAGCGGCGCGCTAGCCGACGCGTCCGAGGCCCCGCGGGTGCGCCCGGCCTCGGTGGGGCCATGGCGCCCCGGGGACAGACCCGGGGGCGCTAAGGGCCGGTAGCCCCCGGGCCGGGCGCCGCGGCTTTCTGTTGGCGGCTGGCGCTCTGCTCGGCGCCCGGCAGCGCTCTCCGCGCTCAGCACCCCGCTCCGCGCCAGCCCCGGCTCCTCCGCCCCGTCCCGCCCCTCCCCGCCCCCCGCCCGCCGCTCTGTCAGCGCCGCCCCCCTCCTCCTCCTCAGTCCGGGCCAGTGGGGGGCAGCCACCCAAGGAGGGGGGCCCCTCCCCGCCCACGCAGAGCCCCGCTCCGGGAGGGGAGGGGGCGCCGGAACTCGGCTCTCTCCGGAGCGCCCTGCCTAGCCGCGGCGTGCTCGGGAAAGAAGGAGTTAAACGGTTAATCCGATCAGGAGGAAGACACCCGACTGGTTGCCGGTGTGTCAGTCAGTCCGTCCATCATGGCGGGGGCGGAGCCCTATGCTGGCGTGTCCTCGCCGATACCCCTGGCCCGGGGGAGAGTGTGGGGAGTGGTCCCGGCGCCGCCGGTGCGGTCTCTGAGGCTGGCAGCGGCGATGTTCCGGGATTCTCCTGTTGGTGGGTCGGAAGATGGTGATGATGTGTGCCCTGGGCGGGATGGGCGTGCACGTGGCCCCTTCCGAGGGTTGTCTGTGTTTTTGGTGTCGGCTGGAAGTGTGTGTGCGCACGTGGTTGGCTGCTGCGGTCTGCCTGTTTCTCTGGATTTCGCTGTGTGTGTATCAGTGTGTCTGTGGGTGAACGATGTGTGCGCACGTGTGCTGCTTGTTTGGAGGGTGTGCGCCGCTGTGGGGTCTGTTCTGGTGGCCTGGGGCTGTGCATGTGTACCCACGCGTTTGGGTGTGTGTTGTGGTCGGTCCGTGCTTGCCGAGTTGTGCAGGCAATTCAGCCTCGGCTGTTTTACTGTGGTGTCTGAGGGAGTCTGCATGCGTTGGTGTGTGTGTGTGGTCCGCCCGAGGGCCGCTTTGGGGTGTTTCTGGGGTGTGTCCCTTTGGTTCCCGTGTGGCTCCAGGAGGACACCCCGGCTGCCCGCCCACCGCTCTGTGTATCACTGCCTCTTTTAAAGCGATTCTACAGGAGGTAAACTGAGGCAGGTCTCCGGCAGCCGCGAGATGCACCCCCATGCCCTTTTCAGGCGAGTAAACAGCCGAGCCTCCTCCCTGCGGCCCCCGCCGGCAGAGCCCCCCTTCCGGCACCTAAATCGGGAGTCGCCGTGACTCACGCTCCCGCCTCCCCCAGCGCCGCGCCGAGCGAGCGAGCGAGCGAGCAGAGAGCGAGCGGGATCTGAGCGCCACCCTCCCCCCATCTCTGCCGCCCGGGCCGCGACGGAGCCCTGGCGGTAGCCGTGCTTTGGGAGCGCAATCTCCCGGGTGTCCCCCCTACGGGGCCCACGCGCTCTCGGACGCTAAACGGCGTGGGTGCGCGTCCCCGGAACCAGGTCCCCGCCCCCGCGCGTCCCCTTCACGGACTCCCCAGGGCAGGCCGTGCCGTCTGCCACCGCCCTCCTCCCTCCCGCGCCCCCCCACCAGCACTGTTCTTATAAAAAGAAAAAAAAAAAAAAAAAGCGGCCGTCTCCAACCCCCACAGCCGCTTTTCTCCCAGCCCGAGGGGGCTCCGGGCGTGGGCGAACGCCGAGCAAGAACCCGCCCCGCATTAGCAGCCGCGGGGTATCCCAGAAGCCAGAACTGTGTCTCCCGCTTCTCTCGGGGACCCTCCCCCAATAGTATATAGTCAAAACGGCTTCTAGGGGATTGGCAAGGGCTGCCAGTCCTCTCCAGATCATTTGAGGGTCCTGGGCTGGGCCAAATTCTTGGGGCCTGGAGGCTGTAGCGTTGGCTGGAGCTATCGGTGGGTAACAACGGATCAGGGCGGAGGTGGGGGGGGTGTGGACCACAGCGGGGGGGGGGGGGTTTGCAGAAGGGCGCAAGGCAGTGGGCTAAGGCTGATGTTTGGAGCTCTGCTCTGAATCCGGGTTAGACAAGGCTGGACCTGAACCTGGCAGAGGGTAGAAGGATGATTGGGGTTGGGGGGTGGGGGGGAGTTGGAGGGAGATACATTAGACCCAGGGAGGAGGGATGATAGTCACTTCCTTCCCCCATCTGGAAATGAAGCATTAGCTCATGACCCAAGCAGAGACCCTGGAGATCTCCAACTGAGTAGATAAGGGGATGGCAAGACTGAGGCTGCAGACAACAGTGGCCTGAGGAGGGCCGTAGGGTCGGGGCCTGGCCAGCAGCCAGGGCAAGCTCAGTTGTCCAGCTTTTGAACTCATCCTCAGCCAAGAGAGGGGCTGAAGTGCCCTCAGAGGACCCCAGATGAGAAAGAGCAAGGAGGCTCACACATACCTCTTACATCTCCTCCCAAGAGAAAGAAAATGCCAGTCCAGCCCTCCACCAGGGTCTCACCATCCCCTTTAAGGCCTGGAAGAAAGTGTATCCTCCCACCCAGCTGATAGGTGGGAGACCCACTGCCTAATCTGCCCCAGCTCTCTGTGGGGGCATGATGGGACTGGAGGGCTGAAACCCTTTCCACAGGCCTGCCTCTTGCTGACTCAGGGAGTTGCAAAATGGAAGAAGGGATTCCTAGAGGCAAGGGGCACTTGGGGAAGGGGCGTCACAGCCTGACCCACAGGGCTCCAGAAATTTCAGCTGACTTTGTGAAAAGCCAGGGGCCTGGAACATGGAAACGGCTGGTGGCCGGACCTAGCCCCAGGCCCTGAATCTCCATCCCACCTCCCAGCCTGGTCCCCTCCTGTGTACCTGTCAGCTTGGGTGATGGAAATCCGCGGAGGGACCAGCAGTGGCAGCGTGGTGGGCCTTGGCGGCACTGGGATCCCACGGTCTGAGGGGTCAGTCTCCGCCCAGCCCAGGCCAGGACCCATGGAAAGGCGACGGCGAGGGCGCCGGAGGTCGGCCCCCAGCATGCTGGCGCTGGTGGGCTCTGGGGTCTCCCACAGCCTCTGAGGAGGGACAAGGACAGGATAGGGGCATGGCCTGACTAGGCTGCTCTGATCCCCTCCCTCCAATAACACCCTTCCCTAGCCACCTGAGAAAGTGGCTCTTGGGGACATAGACTCCTCGTGTCCCCCTCACATCTTAGCCACTCGCTGATCCCTCCCACAAAGGGCACTTTCCCACGCCTTCTCAGCCATAATTCTTACAGGGCTTCCTTTTGATGTTCCTGCCCTGGGGCTGTGGACCCTCATGCCTGTACACTGTGTGCCTCGCTGTGAAACCCTTCTAACATATCCCCATCCCGCACACCTACGAGGCCCGTCCTGGCCTTCCTGTCTGGGGCCCCTCCCCCCCATCTTAGACCCTCAAGACCTTACCCCCAGCACCCCTTCTTCACCCTACACCTCACTCCCCACCTGGGAAGCCCCTTGGAAGCCCCTGCGTTCTGTCCCGGGCCTGAGAGCCTCTTGATCTAGGCAGCTGGAAAATTATGGAATCAAGGGAGTAAACTGAGGCACAAGGCGACGACACTCCTCAGATTTGACAACGTGAAGCCACACTTAGTGAACAGCCATAGTCACAAGAGGGCGCCCGTCTCTCCCGCGGACCAAGCCCCGCCCCCAGCCCGGGCCCCGCCTCTCGCACCTCGTCCCCGGTCCCGGCCACGGACAGAACACTGCGACTCCTCTTCATCCCGCCAACCTAGCTCGCCGCTGGGGCTGCGAGGGTCGTGTCCGCCCCGGCCAGCGGCTCCTGAAGGACCAAGCCGAAGACATCCGCCGTTAGTGCCCCGGGGCTCCCCCTGCCGGCGGAGCCCGAATCCTACCCTCCCTCGCTAGTTTTCTCTCCCGTGGCGTGACGTCAGCGGGTGGCTGACGCACTGGCCGGGGGGTGACGTCGCCTGCCCGTTGCCAGAGCGACAGCTGACGCACGGCTGGGGTCTGGACGGCGTCAATGCCCGGGATGGCCACTGGGGGGCCGGGAGCCTCGGGACCGGGTCGCCCCAGCCCCCACCCGTCCTCCCGCGGGGGCTTCCCCCGGCCTGGGGATCCCGCAGAGAAGACCGGGAGCTCCCAGAAGCGGCCGCGTGTGGCGCGTGGTCCGAGCCGGGGGCCGGAGGAAGCGTCTCCTCCGAGCTGTTGGGCTTTTATGCCTAAACCCGAAATAGCTCCGATGTGCGGGGGCCGGGCGCAGCGAGACGGCGGCTTGGGCACAGATGGGGGACGCACAAGCAGAGGCGCGCGGAGACAGACAGGGACGCGTGGAAATAGAAACAGACAGACAGGGACACAGACGCAGCTCCCGATGATGAGTGCGCTCTGCCGGCGGCGATCCTTGCCTGAAAGCCTGGAGGAGGGGGAGGCTGGTTCACTTCACCTTCGCACCCACGTGAGGCTATTGCTGTGTGGCCATGGGTCAATGACAAACTCTCTGAGCCTTGGTTTGTCCTCTATGAAATGGAATGATCATCCCTACAGGGTCCATGTGAGAATGAAAGGAGATCATACCACACTGAATTCTCACAGGACAGTGTCTGGCACCCAGTAAGTGCTTAATACCACCAATATCTGAACCTGAGAGAGTCTGTTAGAACCCAAGTCAGATCATGTCCCTCCTCTGGTCAGAGCCCTCCACGGCTTTTACTTTCCTCAGAGGAAAAGTCAGAGTCCTCGTGAGGAGGCCCATACAGTCCTGGCACAATGTGCCGGGTCACCTCGAAATCCACACCTCTCACTCCCTCTCAGCTTCTGTTTTATCCACACTGGTCTCACCTGTTTCTGGACACACCATGCACACTCTAGCCTCAGGGCCTTTGCACCTGCTGATCCTTCTGCCTGGAACTCTTCCCTTCAATATCCACAGGGTCCTCACATTCTTCGGGTCTTTGCTCACATCTCACCTTTTCAGGCATTTCTCCTGGAGTGTCTCTCCATCTCACCCCTGTTTAA